CGTCGTCATCTCCGCTCTCCTCTTCTACAAATCTGAAATGTTGTATGTTTTCAAAGCAAATTTTTTTTGGTAGCTGTCCTATTTAAAGAAAAGTAAGTCGTAATTAACGCCAAGTGCTTAATTTGGTTTAGAGATAATTTCATTTAATTATATACGCAAAAATGTAGTCAAGCATATGTTTTCTTTTTCCTTATTATTACTCCACTGTGACCGGTATTGTTACAATTATATCTGCAAAAGGAAAGAAACTTACACTTGACAAAATAGCATTTACGCAGGGCGCTAAAGAAAATACTAGCCAATGTATAACGCAAAACCTTTTAAATGAAATTAAATTTGAATGAATATAAAATACATAAATATATTTCGAAAGAATAAAACGATTTACTGACTAACAACAAGGTCTTGTAGTAAACTTTCGTGTTCCTTACCGTTTTACTTCCTGATTTTTCAATCGATCAGTAAAACTAAGCAAGGTTGTTACATGTAAGAAAGGTAAATGTTTACTCCACATTGTTTACTACCTACCTTCGCTTCGTCCAAACGCCCTAACGCTTTAAGGAGATTACCTAAATCACTGCGAACGCAGTAAAGTTCCTGGAAAGAAGAAAGCCATGTTCAGACAAACAAATATAAATGTACTTAACAATTACGATGTAATTTATGTTGACAATTTAATATGAATCATGTTTGTGCCATTTTAATTAGTAAACTTAATGAATTTTTAATATTTTTTTTACTTTAGAAATTAACATAGCCTAACGAATTAGCCTAATGAATTAGATTTTTCACCTCCACCCCATGCGCCTACATCCCTCCACCCCACTATAAAAACATTTTCAATGTTATACAAGATTATCCAAACCCCTTTCACCCTTCATCTTTTCGATCACATCATCTACACAATTTCTATGTTTATACTAATTAATTTTTTGATTTTGTATCAATCATGTTTTATAAATCTTTTAATTTTTAATTTAATTTTTTTAATAATGAATGGTTCCAGTTTACATACTGAATATCTTTACGACTGTATTGCAGACTCAATTAATTAAATAAAAGAGGAATAAGATTTAGTCTGCACTTACAGGATTGTATTGCAGGGCTGTGATGTATGCTTGAACAGCCTGTTCCATGTCACCGGCTGCTACCAGTGCAGCTGCAAGATTGATGTAACCGTCGATGAAATCAGGTTTTAGTCGAACGGCATGCCTGTAGTTGTCCAGGGCTTCTTGAAGTTGACCCCTTTCTTTATATACGTTACCCAGATTACTGCAAACGAAATTTCATTTTAGATTCGTACACGTTTATGATTTATTACAAAACATCATTAAAATATAAGGAAAATAGATCTGTGCAGTATCAAAATAAACGCCATAACCGAGCTAAAATCTATAAGCAAGGTCCCAATTTTTTTGTGTACGTTTCCGGTACTACCATTTATTCTTAAACTTTAGATTGTAATAAATACCATTATTTTTTGTATTTTTTTAGCTATAATCCACCATATACCTAATTTTTTTCCAAATTAATCGTAATGGAAAACAATAATTAAAATAAATAAGTATGACTGTATTTATATAATTAATTTACCAAAAAATATATATATTCTGTAAGCATGAGCATAAAAAGGTGAAAAATAACGCAATATTATTATAAAGACTAAATATCTGTTGGCAAATCATAAAATTTATGAAGTTTACTATTATCACCAGCAAAAGTAAAGTAATAAACACAAACATATTTTAAAAAAATATAACAATAATATTATTCAAAAAATGCTTATCATTTCTGTTCCAATTAATTAAAACACAACTTATCTGCTAATAACAAAAGATTAAGTTTTGGGTTTGAATACATATAAGTGAGCTAATCATGAGAGAGATTTCTATTTATAACCAAATATTACTACACAAGTCCCCAAGTGAGGCACTCTTTGGAATTTACCTTGTTTTATACATTCATTCTTATCTTCTTCAGTATGAAATCCAATGAAAACAAAATACAAAACTCATGCATTTTAATTGCTTAAATTTAGAGTAAGAGAGGCTTTGTCTATTAAATTTACAAAGCAATAGGTATAATGAAAAAATTAATAAAATTTAACAAATGAAAATAATATTTAACTACTTAAAGTCAAAATCT